CGCGCCCTCGGGGGGGGCACGGCGAGCCTGCGGGCACAGCTCAGCACCCGCAAAGCGCCCGGCACCGCTGCTCCGTGAGCCTGGGACGAGCAGGTCGGAGCCAGCAGAGCATCGCTCGGCATGGGGCTGGAGAGAGCCGCTGCAACCCCCCCCCGGGCCCTGCCTCCCGCCCAGCTCGCTGTGACGACGCCTGAGCCTGCCCAGGTAAGAAATGCTCCCTTTTATTCCCGTGCCAGTCACATAAATAACTCAGTACTGTTCCATAAGTTACATCCCATTAAGCTATTAACACAAGCATCTTTTTTACAAGGTTAAACTTGGCCCAGGTAGAAAGCCAGCGTTCAGGCGTGGGTGGGGGGGTGCATGGCCAGGGCCGTGCAGCCGGGCGATGCCCCGGTCCTGCTGGCCCTTGTTTCCCTGAGCTGGCAGTGGATGTTGCCCAGTTCGGCCAGGCTCTCCCCAGCTCGGCAGGGTCAGTGCATGTGCTGCTTGCGGCTCCTGGTAAATGCTTGAGGCATCTGCTCAAGCTTGCTTTTTCCTTGGATTTTGCACGACTGGAATTGGCATGTTGCATGACAGCAGGAGAGGGGCTGGCACGTGCTGCTGGGGGCCTGAGACAGCCCCCAAATGCTGCAGTGCCCCGACACGAGCACCCCTGTGTATCCTCATCTGCGATGCTGCAACAGCCCTTGGCGTGCGTAGCCCTTCCCCGCTTTGGCCTCCGCAGTCTCCGGGCTGCTCGGTGCTCCCTGCAAATGAAATTCCCAGTCCCAAGCTTCTGCGTTACAGCAAACCCATGAAGACAGAAGCTGCCTCCCCGCGTGTGCGTAACTCCTGCCCGCGCAGGGAGACCAGCACGGCTCACCCGGTCCCCCCAAAAGCAAGGGGCTTTCTGCACGGCTCACTCCCGTGGGATGCTTTCCTCTATCCATTTGAGGTAGAGAGGGTTTCCTTGGTCAATAGGCAGGCTGATGATTTCAGGAATTTCAAAGGGATGGATGGATCTAAAGTGGAAACAGGCGCAGAGGAACAGTGTCACCAACAGCCCTGCGGCAGAACAGCCCCCCTCCTGCCGCGGGCGCAGGAAGCAGAGGTCTCTGCTCCCAGCGGCGCGCGCCAGCCCTGCCCCACGCCCTCCGCTGACTTCAAAGCACTCGCATCTTCTTTTTGCCACGTGAGAATTTTGCTTTGAGTTTGGGGTTTACCACAGCCAGCAGCTGACTGCCAGGGGGCCCTGGCCCAAAGCTGGCTGCATGCACCGCTCGGTGCTTGGGAAGCGCAGGAAATCCTGCCAGGAGGCAGCCAGGGAATAACCTCCATTAGGAGAAGGAGAATCCCTCCTTGTGCCCAGGAGGGGCTGGTTGAAGCCCAACAGTTGATATTCCTGCCAATCTTGGCTTTTTTGCTGATGCCATCTCTGGTTTTTTTCTGGCTCACAAGGTGCATCAGGAGCACTTAAACCCTCCCTGGGTGGGAATGGGCGCAAAGAACCTGACTCCCAAAGCCTGAGTGTGAGACGTGAGCTGGCAGCGTACCTTGGGTAGGAAACCCAGTGCTCCCACGGAGCCAGAGCCTCACCTGACGTAGTTGGACAATTCGTCTATTTTGGATGTCCTTGTTTTCACTAACTGCAGAGAGTAAAAAAAACCAAAACAAAATAAAAACCAGGGGAGAAGAAAAGGGGATGGAGCAACCCTGCGTGCACAGTTCCACTGCACCCATCCAGCTGGGCTCTTTCCCAGGGGATGTCCCCTGTGGTGGCAGGGTGAGGGGCTGCCACCCCCCTGCCACCACTGCCATGCCTGCAGGCAGGTGCTCGGGGTCCCTGGCTACTGTCCCAAATCTCGGGCAGGTTGGTGCCACCTTCTCCCTTTTGGCTGGGGCTGCCTGGGATGGGGATTTTTGTGACACGGGGAATTGTCACTTACCAGCAGTATTTCAGTGGATTCTTCCAGTTCCCCTTTCCAGAAATACCTAGGTTTAAAAGAAAAGAAGCATCAACAAATACAGCTCTGGGTGCAGCCGTGCCGATTCCCGAGGGGGTTTAGGTTCCCTGCTTGGTGCTTTCCACCGTTCCTTTACAAAGTGGTGCTCGAGACGCATCGCTGCCCCCAGAAGTCTGCTGCGCAGATTGAGCATCCTGGATTTACAGACCAGAACCTCCTTGGCTGTGCCAGCCTCGAGAGAGCTGCCATGGGGGGATGGCAGGGCAAAGGAGCTGGGAGTGGGGTGGCCCTGGGGGGCTGTGTGGTGGTGGCCCTGCTCCGAGCAGCGGCCGGGGGACGATGCCTGCAGGGACCGCAGCG